TTAAGTCGTAAGCAATCCAGTCCACCACGTATGGCCGTACGGTAATGGTAGCTTCCCCAATCCGTATGATAAGGTTCTCGCAACACCGTTCCATGGGAACAAGTGTTCGGTCTCATAGTTCTGCACTCAGGTTAGTATTCTCCTTTCTCAACTTCAATTTCTCTGCATATGCCTTTGATATTACTATTTCTTCGCACCCACTGTCTACCAGAATAGTGCAACGGGAATTGTCGGTTGCATCTTGCACCTCCCCGTTGAATACTAGTAGAGATTGCCTCTTTGTATTTCTTCTCTTCTTGTATGGTGAGAATGTACATACTTTGACGGACTCTTTACCGTTGTTCTCTCTTGAATACTGCTTCTTTTTGTCTTTTTGTTTTTATCATTTTTTTGTGTTTTTGTAGTTTTGTCTTCGGCTATAGTACATTTATCCGCCAATGTGCCGACTTCATTTAACGGAACAACTAGTTTTTCTTTTGGGTGAACGCGTTAGGTCTAGGCCTCTGATTGTTGCAGTGGTTTCTGGCTATGCAGTTTTGTTTACCACAGACGAAGCATAACCTATGCTCAATTCTTCGCAATTTTTCTGCTGGGGACAGTTCGTACTTCTGCGCGGTTGCATGTTCCCAATTTGCATTGGTGTAGGCGCAGAGGAGAAATTAGGCGTTGATCTTACGAATCCAAAGTACTTTTGACCACTATTGAAGAGACTATCAAGTCTGTCGGCAATTTTCATAGCGTTTTGTAATGATTGTGGTTCCGCCCGCTCGACCTCGATTCTTGTGCGGGTCTTAAGTCCCTGGCTGTAGTGGAATATCTGTTCCGCAGATGTCATACTTGGGATCTGCAAGAGCCATCTTGAGGACTCTCTATTATATTCCCGGACTAAGGTTAACTTGCCCATTTCTTTTAGATCACTCAACATTTTTCTTGCAGTCAACTCTCTGTTCACAGGTTCAAAATAGTTTAATAGTTCTTTTTGAAACTCATCATATGATGTTATAGCATTTTCATTTAGGTTTGTTAACTCCCACCATTGTAGTCCCGCACCCGTCATATAGCTTACCGCATAGTTGATTTTCGTATTGTCATCGATTGTATTGCTGTGCGCTGCAAAAATATTTGCTATACTTTTCAACCAGCTTCGGGCATTTTCACCGTTGAATTTTTCAGGTTTGCCAGTTTTTAACAAAAGGCTATTGCTATTGCTATTCGTGGTATTTACGTTAGAAATAGATTGGGTGGCGGAAGCAACAGCTTGATTTGTCTCAGCTATTTGCTCCTGTAATGACTGATTAGCTTGAGCTACTTGCTGGCGGAGAGAACTGATCTCATTTTGCATTTGGATTATTGAATCTGGCTCCATAGTGTACAGTAGACAATTTTGAAATTTTCAAACAAGGCAATTTTTTAATGCAAAATTTCTACTGTAGTCAATACCTCTAAATTGAACGTTTGGAGTATTTCTTGAAGTGCCCCAAGGTCTTCGATAGTACACCGGGGTTCGTTTTCCTCGGTTTAGTAACCTTGGTCCAACGTCCAATCACGCCCTTGCTCAATGCCAAGTGTACTAGTCGATGTAGTTCCTTGACACGGCGGCGGTGCTCGTCTTCAACCTTATGCGCGTTGAACAATAAGGCGTTCCTGTAGTTCGTGTGACATAAATCGCACTTTATTGCAAGGATATGAGAGTGCTCGCGGTTAAGGTTTTCCAAAGCAGGGCCGAATCCACGGATTAAAATGAGGTGCCTTATATGGGACTCAGACCGGTTGTGCTCCGGCCACGATTGGTTGTACGGCTTGTTATGTTGACAAGTGGAGCACTTCTCTCCACTCGGTCCTGCGTTAGCCTACGGTAGCTCGAAGGTAGCCACACGGTCGAGCTCACCCCTTTCCAAAGCAATATTAAAAATTAACTCTTTTTCAGCCGGCAGCGGTGTTGCAATCTTGTTAGCCGAGGTAGATTGGCTCTGAGCTTGAATTTCGCCTTGTTTTGCGACGATAATTGGCTCCGGCTCGGTATTGGTGTTGCCTGTGCCGCGTGTGGAATTAGCGCTGTTGGTGTTGATTTCGCACACTGGAAAAAGTTTGGTAAAAAATAGGGTTAGATCGATTTGGCGATGCTACCACTTTTAGCGGTGCGCAGGGTTATTAAAATGAACAGAGTGACTTACTTGTGTTGAATGGTTTTGCAAAGCAGTTCTTAAGTTGGACACACTTGGGGTTGCAGGTTGGGTGGCTTTCAGGGTTAGTGAGTGGTTGTGCCTGGCCCCTTTTGCTTCCCCGTCCGAACGCCGCGCCTTTTATAGAAATCGTAGCTGAAATTTAGAACAATACGGTACTTGCTAGACTATAATAAACTATCCTTTCACTCTACAACTAATCTCCATACAATCGCTTGTGTCCTTGCCTTCAATCTCCTCGACCATCCTCTTTAGTACTAGTGGATACTGTACTCCTCCTTTGACAATTCTTTTAGGTATGGCATAGAAATTATGTTGTAGTTCTATGCCATCCTTTTAAAGAATGGAGGAGCCAGTCCATTCGGGAAAGACACGTGCAGTATGTTTATAAAAAGTAAAACTACAAAGACATACATACTGTGCTTGTCCTTCAACTGTTACAACTTCAGGGTCCACAAAAGGTACATAAAACAAGTAGACGTCTACCACAAGTAAATTCTACCAGCCACAAGTAGATTTTACTTCAAAATAGAGAGTTGGTAGACGATTTTGGTACCTTTAGTAGACATTTGGTCTGATGTTTCTTCGCGGTCCACAAAAAAATCAACGAGCTCCCCCGTCGGAACGCATGGTGAGAATTCCAACTTGCCGCATATTAAAATGACGGGCAGAGAGAGCACATTCAGATGAACGTAGTGTCGTATCTCAACCCCGACTTTGACTGGAGAAACGAAAAAATACCGATGGGGACGTCAGAAAAATCGTCTACTTATCCGAGCACAGGGTTCGCTAAAAAACTTTATTTACAACCAGGGAGAACCCGTAAAGGGGGGTGCTCTAAATGTCGGACAAAAACCTCATTATTAAAAGGAAAAAGTACTTGTAATTGTCAACCAATCATCATTTTTTATGTCTTGCGACGGGAACACTCTCAGCCGTTCGTCTTCAAGTACTGGGACTTGGCGAAAACAAGCACGGACAAAGACGAGGAGTGAGATTGAAGCGCGCGGACACTTTTGCACCCCAACCGCGCACAAAGATCGGACATCGAAGCAAATTAAAAAAAATAGAAAAGTATGCCTGTTTTGTATTTTTGGGTTGTTACACTCTTATACGTAGCAAGCTGTAAGCAATCGATTGAGATATTTTTTCTTTAATTTCAACCACGTCGTTCTGAGATACGGCGCACTGTCTGGCGCCGTTACGCGCGGCGGTGCACCTTGGCCCGTGTCGGAGATAATTTTCAAAATATTTTGCATGTCCGATCTTTTTGTCACTGTCCGACAATTGCAGCACGCCCCCTTTACAATGTAGAGCAGCTGAGTATGCCTGTTAAGACACACCTCTTAACATGCCCCGTTTTTCTGCAGTTTGCTTTGCTTTGCCCAGAGAGGTGATTTGGCGTGCTATGAGTGGCTCCTACGTTTTAATTTTTGAGTTTAAGAAAAGCAAGCGCTTGAGAAGCATACGGTATTTGTTAAGAATTTAAAAGTATTCCTGGCAAAACCGGGCAAGGTAAGCAAAAACCAGCCTGTTAAGACACACCCTCAGGGTGTGTCTTAACAGGCTGAGGGTGTCAGGCTGGTTTTTGAGTCATGGAGTATGATGCGCGAGCTGCGGTACGGCACAACACGTGTACTGTCGCCGAGGTTACCGTCTCCGGGGCTACCATAGCCGAGGTATGGCACGCGCGGTGCGCCGAGATGAGCCACAGCCCCAGCACGGGCACCGTAGCCGAGGTTACTGGATCCTACTGTACGGCAACGCCGATGCCAGCTGACGGTACCACGACAGTCGCGCCGCTGCGAGTACCACCCCCGCGTAGCCGAGGTTACTAGACTCTACGGTGTGCCAACTGACGGTACCGCGACTGTCCCGCAGCCGCGCGTACGACCCCCGCGCGACCGTCGCCTGTCTCGAACCCTCTCCAAACCACACGGGAACACACGAAAAATCCACAAAAACTGCCCCTGACTCCGCTGTCCCCGTCATCCCTATCCTTGCTGTCAACCCCCTACCTTTTCCCCTGCGCCCTGCGCCCTCCGCCTCCTCCCCATCCCCCCCCCCCTCCCTCTCCACCTCTCCCCTCCTCCCCCTCCCCCGATGGATCTGCACCGCCCCCGCTTCCGCCTCGTACACCACCTCGACCGCCTCCTCTCCCGCCTCAACGCGCTCCTCTCCTTCACCTACATAACCCTGGTCACAATCCTGCACCTCCTCTCGCTGCTCGTCTACGTCCGCCATCTGCACCCGGTCCTCCGCCTAGCCCTTCCGTCTGCGCTCCTGCACCTGCACGCCGTCCTCTCGCTCTCGCTCTTCCTGTCGTCGGCCCTCAACTACGCCCTGTGCGTGCGCACCCCACCGGGCACGCCGCGGCCCGACGCGGAGGCCGCCGCCTCGCTCAAGCCGCCCGCGCCCGCGCCCGCGCCCAATGCGCCCGCGGCCGTGCCATATCACAACCGCATGTGT